TGTTTAAATGTCTTTTGGAATTAGCCTTGTTGTGCTTTTTACCCCAGTTTGCTTTCCTGCTCTGCTGCTATCTGTTTGTATGTTATCAGACATTCAGATGTAATTGAGGCTATCCGTTTCCATTGTGATGCCGTGTGTGTGTGTGTGTGTGTGTGTGTCTGGCTGAGGAAGGTTTCATGGAGCTAGCGTGGCAGGCCAGCGTGTTCCCTTGTGGGAGTGATCCAACAAAGACCGGGTCATTCAATATCGTCTGAAAAGCTTCGAATTGAATTCTCTCAACCTCTCCGTCTTTGTGTCTTTCTCAGCGGACATATATTCAGAAGCACATCATTTATACACGCCTTTTCATCAGGGACCCATGGCTTCTCATCTTCTGCCTTTCCAGAGTTCCCTCAAACGTTTTGTCCTCACAAGTGTTCACAGTTAAATTAGCAACTGTCAGCCTCATCCTCGCTCTGTTTTCCATTAGAGTCCGTCGTGGCATTAAGAGAATACTGGTAACAGCAACAATGATGGCATGACTGCTCCTGGTGGTGGTAGAAAGCAGGAGTCAGGAGATCCATGCATTAGTCGCCTGATATCTGTGAATATTCCTGAAGTGTGTCGAGCCCAGCTGCTGGAGATAGCACAGGATGTCTGGAGAATTTAGAGCTTCCTACTCGTCACGGGAAAGCACGGACAAATCAGAGATCCTCCTGCAGCGATTACTTCAGTTACAACTCTTTTCATAAAATTGTCGAGGACTGAGGACGTCCTCCAAACAAGCTTTGCTCACCATTTGTATAACTTACACATGCACAGTTGGACGTCTGCAGACCTTTGAGGATCTGGATCGTGAACTTTACTATTGCAGATGTGGAAACATGCACAGAAAACATGAGTTGGCCTTAATAGGGTAGAAAACAGTCATTAAGTCTTTAGTGCTCAGGCAGCGTTCTGCTGAACCGGACCTCCTGAGCGGTACATGTTGTTAGAACCACTGCATTAACTCAGTGGAACCCTGACAGCGTTTCTGTCTTAAAATGTGGAAGTCTTCCTCTAGAGCATTGGTTCTGAGGCTTGTTGTCTTCAGAAGTCAACAAAAGTCCCTCCTCATGCATTTTAGCACAAGAGCATCAACTTTTCTTTCTTTACTTTCACTAATTCAGTCATTTTCTTTCAACTTAGTTTCAATCGGTGCTTTTCCCTTTGCCCATCCACGTCCCCCTGCAGTGGCTCCAGCCCCCAGTGGCAGCCCAGCCCCAGCCCATAGCTACCCCCTAGCAGCAGAGGACAGCATGCATCAGCTTCTCCGGCTGAGGAATAGTCTCCATAATGAGTACACCTTCCTGAGTGACCTCGACGCTCCTCTTAACTCATTGTTTTTTGTCCTCCCCACAGTAAAACCAGACCCGCCGGAGCGTGTCACGGCGACCCCGATTCGCTTCAACCTTCGGAGGCTGGAGGTGTCCTGGCACAGCCCGGCCACCTGGCCCGACATAGACAACTTCCCCCTGAAGTACTTCCTTCGATACCGGCCGCTCATCCGAGAGCAGTGGCAGCATGTGAGTAGTAGCCTTGACAAAGTTCACAGCATCCAGCAGGCTTCTCCGAAATCACCACTAAAGACGCTGAGTAGAGACGTCCAGTATAGCTGTCATGTGATCAGCAGATAACCAGTATAGCTGTCATGTGTTCAGCAGATAACCAGTATAGCTGCCATGTGTTCAGCAGATAACCAGTCATGTGTTCAGCAGATAACCAGTATAGCTGTCATGTGTTCAGCAGATAACCAGTATAGCTGTCATGTGTTCAGCAGGTATCCAGTATAGCTGTCATGTGTTCAGCAGATATCCAGTATAGCTGTCATGTGTTCAGCAGATATCCAGTGGAGCCAAAGAGAAATCCTCGGCCTCAGTTTCACTTAATAGCAGGAGCGTAGCTGGTCCTGAAAACACATGTAATAACTTTGGCACAAGCCACAATTAAAGGGCTTAGAAGTGTTTGTTCAGACACAGCACATCTCTTTTAAGCTGTAAGTCAACACTGGAAAACACCAGCAGGACTCAGCTTCATTATGTGGTCTTCCAAAACCGGGAAACGCTGTTCTAAAGAAAAACACTTGCTACAAATTGCAGCTTGAGTTTCAGCTCATTGCTGAAGGGAAATGGCAGATTTCAGAGCCTGTAGCGTCTTTTCAGCAGCAGTCCTGCGTATCTTCATTACGTAAAGAGATGGTCCTGCTTCTCCACATACCATCACTAGTTTTGTGCATTAAATGTGGATCTTTTTCAAGGGAAAAAGGAATCTTTGTCCAAAGAGATGCCTGTGAGAACAGCGAGCAGATATTATTGAAATGATCCGACGTGTAGCTGTTTGAGTTTGATCCCCGGACAGACAGACAGACATAATTGCTCAGCTGCTTCGGTGTATGTTACTGTATCTGAGTATTTCTTGTGGTTTCAGCTCCCCGAGGGCCTCATATAGTAAAAGCATATGTGTCTGCTATAGGATTCCTGGATGAAAGCTGTGTCTAACGTTGCAGGGTTATTATCATGCACGTCAATGGTTTCTAAGGTGTTGTTCCAAGAGCTTGGGTTACAGCCGCACATGGAATCACACACAGGCCCGTCTGAGTTATAGGCCGATACGTTTTTGTCATCTGTGTCAGGATTTCCAATTTATTTTTTCCCTCCAGTTGTTCTTCCATCTGTCCTCTTCTGTCTTTCTTGTGGAAAAGTTCACTTGATGGTATTTCTGTGTCATTTGTTGGACTCTGGAGACGACCAGCTGGGTTCTGGTGACCTGCCATCCTGTTTGAAGGTTTACAGTCAGTCAGTGAATGTATCATAAAAAAGCTTTCTGTTGTTCTTGATGGTTTTAACGCAGTCAGGCTCCAAACGAAGCAGAGCGATTGTGTTTTCATGCTCCGCCGTGTGATTGTTTGGCACCACTGTGGCCTCAAACAAAGCTGAACTAAAGCTGTAAATGGGCCCGAGATGAGCAAACACTCAAGACATCCCGCTTTAAATTCATCCCTAATAAGATTGCTTACTGCTAATAATTGCTCAAAAGAAAATTTATTGCAGCAATTAAAGCCATTGATTTAATGTTTCGGGCGATTCATCAAGACCAAGGATCAGTCCTGCCTCTCAAACCTGAAGATCTGCTCAGTTTGAATTATTCATCACTGAGATGCTTTCAGTTGTCCAACAATCTAAACAGTTAATACTGAACTGATGAATCAAATAGAGGACGAGGACTGTCAGGGGCACAGTAACACCTCTAAATACCATTACAGGATGCATCACACACACACTGGTTCCTGCTGATCCTCACATGCAGACACACAGCAGCTGGAATGAAAACTGGTTGAAATAACTCCTCAGATGTTTGTGGTTGGAGCTGATGATTAAACCTGACACACACTCAGAGTTTTCTTCCCCCTCCTCACCACTAATCAATCAATATGTGAAGTGACGCGTAACCTGAAAGGTGGGAAACCTAAAGTCAATATTTGGATTGGATAAGGACACATAATTTGGGAAATTAGATAAATACAGTGGATGACAGCTTCAAACTGCAGGTTTCCCACCTTTAGGCTCTGTGATGAATGTCTCTGTGGTCGTGGCTTTTTATTTTCGTAGCAATAAGTGTGGTTTTCTGAAAGGGGAATTCTGCACGGATCACTTTTGGGCTCGTGAGAATTTTATGGTTGTGCCTCTGCCTCTTTTATTAAGTGCTGCTTCGTAGCGCTGCCGGTGTTTTCAGCTGCACAGAACACGAGCTGTCTGCTTAATATAAAACATATTGGTTTGTGGATTGCATTTGAGTGCATTAAATCAAAACTTGCAATTAACTGTGGAGAGTTTTTGACTCAGGAATATTTCAGCAGGTTATTGTTCAGTGTGACCAGGCGACGGTTCGTCAGTGTATGTTTGTGTGTAAGACCTTTAAATGTAGTTTCCAGGGTTGTGAGTTGCTTCCACGTCTAAAACATTTTAACAGTTCAGATGAAGTCATGTTCGCTGATGTTTGTGTCTCCAGCTGGACGAACAGCCAATCAGAGCTCTGAAGGTGAAAGCACACGTTATCGTCTTCATCATCATTAGATGGTGTCCGTCCAAACCTTCTCCATCAGATGGAACAAACGTGACTGCTGAGTCGTACTGGGGAGCTCTGTAGCGCCTCCTCATGGCCACATTTCTTTAGCGGATCTGACCAGCAGTGACTTCTATCTTCTGTTCTCATTCCAGCCTCCAGACGCCTGCTGGCTGTGATGATGCTGACAGCAGTCAGCTGGTGATTCATTTACCCCTAAAAACTCACCTCTGTTTATCAAAACCTCTGTTTGTTTGTTTGTATTTTTTAATGAAATAATCTCCTCCTGCCTTAAAGTGCCTCAGATGTGACTCCACAAAGGACTCCATGCTCTACCGTCATATGCAGCAATGAATGTGATTAATGCACGTACAGGAAGCATTCATTTAGACACAGTCATCACATGCATCTGGACTGATCCTGCCTCTTTGCTTTCCACCTGGTCCTCTGCAGCTGGAGCACACCAGCTCACCTGCAGCTCTTCCTAAGCGCTGCAAAGCACACTGGCAAGGTGTAGTGTTGGGCTAACGTTCTAAACATGTTTGTCCCAAAAGTCTGAATGTGTGTTTTAGGGACTGCCGTCAACACACTGAGGCTTCAAGGTGGAAATGCTGAGTCATGGCGCTGACTGTACGTTCACATAAGAAACACTGCATGGACGCGCTAGCAAGATGACAGAAAACAGAACTTGATTTTCTTCTTTAATGACGGCGACTGTTGTTGGCGGTGACATAAATCATTAGCAGGTGTTTAACGAGGAGACACTCTGTTTACTGGCCCCACATATGCTTCGTTAATTATAACCTCAGAGGCAGAATACTAATCCAAATGGAAAGTTTTGGAGGAATTCACCTTTAATGCGGTCAGACGGCCGAGCCGGGCTGGAGGACGGCTTTCATGTGTAACATTTTGAAATGTGTTTTGAGTCATGAATGAAAGCGGCGCTGTGATCAGACTGATGTGTAGAGGAAGCCATCCATCGTCCTGAGGAACGACTGGCCCAGATACTCAGAGTGATGGAGACTCGGACGGAAGGAGGAAAATGAGGAAAAGTTTTGAAGTGCAGATGAATGGAGTGCATCAGAGGAGGAGAGAGGGCGTTAATGGAAAGCAGACTCGGGTAGATTGGCTGAAAGAGACGAGGGCTGTAGATATAAATGAGAGACACTCGCAGACGCATCGATACGTTTAAACTGCAGTCGCAGACAAAGGTGGCTGAAATATACAGCAAAGAAAAAGATGTAATGTCAAATAAAGCACATAACTCGTAGACCATAGTGCCAGATTATGAAAAGTGACAGAGGGATGGATGCTCGGTGAGAGAGGAGAAGAGGAGCTGGCATATGGAGAGCAGTGTGATTAAATGTATGGAGCCACGTCAGCCTCAGACAGATGAATGGAGGACGGTGTGGGAGACATTAGGACGGGAAGAGGAGGCTGCCTTGAAAGTGAAGCTTTATAAAGTGTCTGTTACTGGGTGTTTGAAGTTAAAGGAAGATAGATGAATGGTTCAAGGGGAGGAAAGAGGAAGTCTGAAACGTTTTCAGCCGTAAAAGAAAAGAAGAGAACAAACAGGAGGGAGATGCTTTAGCCTCCAAACAAACCCATTTGAACAAAACAATCAGGAATTTACCCGCAGAACCACAGCAACAGAACTATCCTCATCTGAGTCCCACAACGATTTGCAAATGCATGTTTTGTAGTCTGACCTGCAGTAAGCGTGAGCAGCTCAGGTCGCCTCCTCAGATGTTCTGTCTTCACTTCAAGGCACAATCACAGTTTGACAGCAGACGACCAAAAGTGGAGTTTAAAATGTGTCCGTACGATCTAACAGCTGGGAGGCAGTCCTGGTCCAACAGGCCGCTTCTAAAAGTCTGCCATCTATCAGCCACAACATTAAAACCACCTGCTGAATACTGTGCAGGCCAGAACCGTTCTGACCGACTGGACCATGGACGTTGGACCTCTGGAGGTGTCCTGTGGTGTCTGGCAGTGGGATGCTGGCAGCAGATCCCTTTAGAGGTCTCTGGGTCGCAGGGTGGGGCCTTCATGGACCGGGCTTGTTCTGGCACAGCTGAAGTCTGGGAGTAGGAGGTCCGGTCAGCGCCTCGGCTCTCTGTTCATCGTTGCAGCAACGTTTGATGACTTGTTTTCTTTTTATTCCTCAGGGGAACGGTTTGCTTCCAAGCTGGAGGTTTAACATGCAGCTGGTTTATTTCCCTTCATTAAAGGATCTGCAGAGAAACGTGTGATTTCTCTGGTTCCAGTGACTGATTCATCGCTAACTGCTGCTTTCTTTTTGCTGTGGTCCCTCGTTGAAGCTCAACAAGAGTTTTGATGGTCAGTAAAGCAACGATATTTACTGTACAGAGCAGCACATGGACCGGCTGCCACACCGGTGGCTTTACCTCATGATTGGTTGAAATACGTCAGCGCAGCTCTGTTACTCCACCGGCTCATTTCC